TAAGGGGAAAAAATGAGAATCAAGACCTGTCATGTAGAGGTACAAGATCCCAACAATGAATGTGACTGTACTGTATCCCTAAAATGTACCAATAAACTCAATTAAAGCTGAAAAAAAAAAAAAAGTATTACCTTAATTGTTGAAGGCTGCAAATAAAGCTTGTTTCTCCAAGACCTAAGAGTCCTTCTCCACTGGTTTTCAGGTGTCTCCTGTCAGCCTGCCTGTCTTCCAGGCTTTGGTCCCTCTGGGGGACGTACCGGACTACACATACTGGACACTCCCGGGGGCACCCAATGCTGCTGCTGAGTGGTCTAGCTGAGCAACCTGCATCCTGGGAGGGCCACAGCAAGGAAGAACCACTCTTTCCGGGGTGTCCACTTTAGTCAACAGTGGCATGCAACACCTCAGGGCAGTCGGTTCGGTGCCTACCACCACCCAGCAGCATGGTGCTCCGGGCCCTACGGCTCCATTTCCTGGGCATTGATTTCAGCAGGAAGTCGGTCATGAAGCTTGGCATGACACAGGCTGAGAAACAGAATGCTGTTTGGAGAAGATGTAAGGTCTGGGGCCAGCAGACACTGTCTTCAAAGCCAGCAGCAGCCCTGACAGGACAGTAGGCCCAGATGCATAGAGAAGGGATACAGGGAGGGACTCCTGACAAACACAGGAATAATAAATTTATTATATGAACCACATATGATAGGGTAGTGCACATATAAAAAGGGAACTCATCACCAGAGGACAGCTGGCTGCTGCTCACTGCGGCAGGCAACACAGAGGTGCTGCGTAGCTGCATCCCACTGGGAGTCCACTCTAGGGGTGGTGCAGAGAGCAGGGTATTGTGAGGATGCCAGGTCCCGAGGGTGGTACCCAGCTGGTCAGTCTTCAGCCCTCACCATGGGAACCTGGCACCCTTGCCCAAGAGGGACACAGGTGTGCCAGGGGCAGGCTCCTTTGACTTCCAGCCCCTGCTCCCTCACAGCACAGCCTGATGCCCACCTGTGGCAGGGGACTCCTTGCTGCCTGGAGGGTGGCCTTCACTCTGAAATGGAGCCCGGGACCCAGGTCTAGGAGCGTATGCCACAGGCAGCATGGCCAGAACCCAGCACTGCTCAAAGAGCTGTGCGGTCAGGATTTCCTATGTCCTCTTCCACGTCATCCTGTGGGAATGAGCAGAGCGTGTGCTAACTCGCAAGACGCTTGATGAGACCCTGAGTTCTCCCTCATGCTGCTGAGAGTGGACAAGAAG